AAAAATTATACATTTACTTTTTAGCTAACTATAATATTCACTAGATTACATGTTCTTAATGGCAATAATAGGTGATCGAATTATTCCAAAATTCCTGCAATATTTTGCTATACTAAATTCATGTTAATTATAAAGTTGAAATTATTGAACTTATTGATGCATACAGTTTGTGCTTAATTTAGCTTAACTTAACCCGTTAAAATAAACTATAGTTAAAATGCCAGCTAATTGCAAAAAAAGATATATAAATGAAATATGTGAAAGTAAAATAGAAAACAGTAAAATAAAATACCAAGGACATCAATCATGTACATCTCTGACTGACTAAAATAAATCAATAAACTAGTTCTGTTATATAAACGAAATTATCCATTAGGTTTCATAAATTATGGCATAAGGATTTTAATAAAATTTTTATTTTTTCATTGTAGAGTTTATTATTAATTGACAATGTAAACATTAGTTAAGGTAAATTTAAATTATTATGTATCAATGTATTAGATTCATTAAAAACATATAGTCAGTTTTATTAGAAAGCTTACTAATTAAAGTAACAAGAATCATTTACCTTGTTATTTGTTCCATAGATCTTTGTTTATAGTTAAATAAATCACAAGTTTGCATATATTCCATTAAATACATTAAAATCCAATAAAATATAGTTAAGCCCATTAGAATAAAAATGCTTGAAGATACGCCATCCCAGACACTATATTCAACTAAGGAGTGCATAAATTAAAAGATTTTAACAATATATATATAAAATATATAATAAAGTAGGACTTACCGCAGCAGTTTGGCATTGAATCACAGTTTTCAACATATGTTGAAATTGTATATATAGTTTGATCCGAACACATTACTATTAAGTCATTAATAAAGAAAATAGTACTCATAGCGCTACATTGTGTGAACAGAGGCATTATATAAAGTATTCTTCCCAGAGTGTTTATATAACTTAATCCGTCATCATGATTTTTGTAGAAAACCTCAGTGTAAATTGCGAAATTCGTTATGCCAAAGAAATGAATTGTGATGACAACACAGAATGCTAAATATGGATCTCTAAAGAATCTTCCTAAGACATGATTCATTGAGGTTACGCAAATTCCACCAGCTATTATGGTTAGAAAATATGACTCTAAAAATTGGACAATGCGTTTTGTTGTAACAAATTTTAATACGGAAGTATACATCTGATATAAACTTACCTCTGACATCGGTATCATTGAATCGATCTTGGTCAATGACCATCATTGTTGCGACTGTTATAATTCCTGTTACTAATACCACCAGAATATCGAGTATTAAACCAGTTAAAAAAAATGAATCTTTTTTTGCACCGGCAATGAACTGTAGGAATTTTAAGTTTGTTATTTTTTCTCTGATCGTAAATATGATTGAAATTGACCAAACAAACGATAGGCAGAGTGATGTACACAGCGGTAAAAGCATATTATGCGACAGTGGAACATGCATCATCATTGCATGATATTTATTAGTAAATGGCAAAGGTTGGAAATTCAGTTCAATACTTGAATCAATACCCAATATTGCTCTGCAATGAAATAAATGAAAGATAGATCAAAATTAGAAGTATTGATTATAGTTAATATACTCCTTAGTTAATATACTTCTTTGTTCAATAAGTTTGAAGATCATCACTTGTTCCTGTTTTTAACTTTAAGTCACTGTGTCTAGAGAACTAAGATATATTGAATCTACTGATAGTTGATCTGAGTAGTACTTGGTTGATGGAAGAAAGCATTTTTGTTTTACAGAAATTATGACGACAGTTTTTTTAGCAGGACCGTACGCCTTATTGAAGGTAACTTGCTGAGTTGTCGAGAAGAATTGAAAACATTGTCGAGAAAACAATACATCGACACTAAAAGCTCTTGTTAACCCCTTCAGTTCTTTAAAGATGATCAGTGATTAGTGATCAGTGTTTTAAAATAAAATAAACTGCATGTAACTATGGTCTGTCGGTATATTTTATAACTGTGGTGTGGTGTATAGATTTATAGCCCAGCCTCATGTTGGCTTGGCAAATAAATATTTAGCTCTAGAAAACTAATTTTTGGAGTTAGCTTTGAAGGATTTCTCATGGCAAAAAGCTTTGCAACAACAGAATTATTTAATTTCATATTTTAGACAAGATGCTGTAAGGAGTTATTTTTCACGCAAGTGATTATCTAAAACTATATAAGAACTGAGATATACGTTTAATGTAGAATAATAATTTTGATGCGATTATTTAATTTAAAAGAAATTAATGTACTCACCTCGCTATTGCATTATGCATTAAGTTTAATGAGAGTGGTACGGTGTGAAGAGGGTAATTGTTAAACCAAGCAGTGTAGTTTTTTTTGAAAGAAGCAGCAACGAGGTAAAGCTCATTAATTTTACTTGCTTTTAACTTTTCCTGCTTTATTAGGTATTCTTCAAATGGAGTTTCAATAACTTCTACTTGGTGTGGATTTGAACTCCAAAATACTAACTGTTGATATTCAAGTTCCGAGCTTTCCGACATTGGATCTGTTTTCCGTAAAATTTCTATTGTAGTTGCGGAACGCTGGTATTGTTGCAGTCTATATGACATCGGCTTTAAATCATCATTGTTTAATTTTATTTGTAGTAGAGAGAACGGCATCACTGTACATAAAATAGGTAAGATAACAATTGAACCAAATATTAATGGACTACGTATTAAATGTATAAAACGCTTATAAACGTATGCGTTCCAATGATTTAATATAAGTTTCCTCCCTTTAAGAGTTTTATATGTCTGAAATAGCGTAACAGGATTTGAGCGGTCTAGGTATTTAGAAATACCATTTAAAATTTCATGATGTCGTAGAGAATTGCCATAACTTGAACCATCTGCCCCATATTGTAAAAAAACATCGCGTAAAGAATGTTCGTTAACCTCCAAATGTACAATATTCAGTTCGTTCCATCTTTCTTCGAATTCATCGAAAATATCATCAAATACATACGAGTATTTTTGTTCTAGAAGAAATGATATTTCATTCCCAAGCATATAATCTGGTTCAATATTTATTATGTATTTTCGTAATAATTTCTTTATATCGTCACTTTTTGAAAGTTTTCCCATAAGAATTCTCTAAAATATGGATTTTTCTTTATTAAAAGTTATTTGATCAATATTAATTTAAATTATTTCCTTGTAAAGGCTGACAATAAAAAGAGATAATCATAATAAGCACTCTGATTTTCGTTCAAATTTCTATTTTATCTTAGAATGGTTTCAATAATTCTCTAAATTAGAGTATATGTATTTCAACCAGAACTAATATCTTGATGCAGTCGAATATGAGATTATATTTATTAGTAACCGGAAATAATGGTACAAAAATATTACCGTAGTGTCGCAATGCTTTAGGTAATATGTTAAAAAATAGCAACTTACCCATAAATTCACTTATAAATTTTTTTCTCCTCGTTCTAACACTACCTTTATTTGTGTATCTATGTACATTTCATAGATCCTCTACCATGTATACTTTCTTTTCATACTTACTTATTTCAATTCTATTAAAGGGTTATAGGGAAGATATAAGAATTATTTTATAAAAGACACATATTTATACATTTATTTATTGTATCTTTTCTTACAATGAGACTAACAATAACATTTAAGATCTTATCACTAAAGTAAAGTAAAGTAAACCTTATATCGCGGACCTCACTTAAATCAATGGGTTAAATTTCATTGGCGTGAATGTTAGATGATTTATTAAGAAAACAGTAAAACTTTATTAGATTACTAAAAAGAAGAGTGGGATTTTTAATTGAAGCTATTGAATTTTACTTAATGGCTGGATGGTCAGCTCTTTTTAGGCGGAAATTAATAGATTGAAGTGCGTGATTCCTTACTAAGAAATTAGTATGTTTTGTTACCCTTTTATTGATTTTTTTCCTTATATTGTCAAATTTAGCTTTAACTAAGGGAATTTGTAGATCTCGGTGGATACTTTCATTCCTAATATATCATGGGGCTCCAGTGATTGTTTTCAATATTTTTGACAGAGATCTTTGGATAATTTTAATATTTAATGCACTAGCATTACTAAATATCTGGATACCGTAAGTCCATATTGGTTTTATAATGCTGTTGTACAAGAGTTCTTAATGTTATTAATGAGCCAGTGCAACTTGGAGGCTTGGAGCTTCATTTAAGTTTTTTTCAATATGTTTGCGTCAAGTTAGTTGCCTGTCTAGGCATGATATGGAAATGTTATTTAGTAAAATTGTTGAAGATATACTCCGATTTAAAGAAAAAATGACGTGTCTATATTTTAGTTCATTAATTTAGCTTTGTATATTAGCGGCAATTTTCAAAATATTTCTATACATTTAAGTATACAATATTAAATAAAGAATTTAGTTAAAAGTATGTTATTTGACATAAATATTATTATGGGAACATTTTTTTCAGTAATGTTCACCAACAAAGTATTGTGTGTAGTCGTTTTCCTAACTCTTTGTAATTCTTCATTTAACTTTTTACTGTTTAGTTATTTATGATTTCTTATAAAAATAGATAGTGTGTCTATTTTGTTGCATTTTTGATCAAAACCATTTAGTAAATATAATCTATAAGTCTTATCTCTTTTCACAAATTATTATATATAAACCAGGTAAATATTATATAAGTTATATAAAATAATTTAAAATAATACTTACTAAGCAATATCCATAGCAATAAACACGTTTCAGAAAACTGGGAGTGCCGGAACATTTGATTTCTCCATTAGCCATAATGGCCATACGATTACCAAATGTTTCCGCCACATCATAGGAATTTGTTGATAACAGCAGTGTTCGACCAATTCGTTCTTTTAACAACAAGTTGAACATATATTTTCTAGTAAGTATATCAAGGCCTTCAAAGGGATCACAGAGTATAATAATTTTACTATCTCCAATTAGCGCGCAACATAAAGCTAGTATATTTTTTAAGCCTAATGTCAAGTTATCTGTATAACAATTTGAATAATTTTTGAGTAGAGTTGATTTAAGATATTTTATGACTTGCATTTTGCATTTAGGGTACTCTATACCCTTCATTCGGCAAAAAAATGTTAATTGATCTTGCACAGTTAAGTTTCCAAACAATATTTGATCATTTATGGCAAAACTAATGTCATCATAACCTTTATCTGCAGTCCATTCAATACCATTTATCTTCATATCTCCACTAGTTGGATGTAATAAACCCACAATCATTTTTAATAAAGTTTTCTTGCCACTGCCGTTATGACCCATAAGAATGGTAGTGTCATTTTCATACAAAGTCATATTAACATTTTGTACCACATACTTATTATCATACTTTTTACACAAATTAGTTATTTCGAGGATTGGTGGCTTGAGAGTTTCAACTTCAATAACTGTAATACTTCGATTTGAGCTACCAGGCCTTGTGGTATCCTGGATTGAGCTACCAGGACGACGTCCTTTAAATACATCCGTTAAAAAAAGGTTCAGCTTTTTTACTCGGCCGGTTTTGTCAGGAATCAGCATGTCAATATATATTGCCATGACCATGTGAACTATACTTTGAAGTAACATTGTGATACTAAGAATGCCGATTGAGAAGTGTATTTCCAATGTTTGCGAACTAAAATAGTTCTTAAACTGAATGCCTATGTCGTTTACCTCTAAATTTTGGATGTTACCAATGATTAAACCCATTGTAGTATTGGGTAATAGAAAAATTAATATGCGTGTTAAAATTTCATGATTCAATTTATTTAGAAGGCTTGCATAAGGAAAAAATGTTAAAATCCATAAAGCAACTGTTATTATAACAGCATATTTTGCTTTGACGAAAAATATGGATAAAAGTACTGAAAAGGTTGCCGCAACTAAGCTGTACAAGCTCATAACAAGCAATAATGCTAGCCATGAGCTATTAGGCAAAATTCCATTACCGTCACTCCATGGTATCTAAATACAGACATATAAATAGATCAGAAAGTACACATATTAGTACAAGGTAAGAAACTCAGCGTAGATAACAATTACCTTAATCAAAGTCACTAATATTATGGATGATAACAACAGTTGAAAGAAAGCAACAACAACCCATGATATTAATTGTAATGCATAAGGCGCTCCCATGTTTTTAAGGACTATTTGTAAATTCTTCTCTTTTTCTTCAACTATGTACTAAAAATGAAAATAGTCTTGTAAATATTTAGTATTTTTTATAAATATAAATGATGGTCGATATTCCAAAACTCTTTACATTAAAATACGAGTATCTAAAATGCCAAGAGTCCATTTATAACATAACTGAGACATTGGGGTTATGATAGATCTATTGAAGGAGCAGCATTGTGCACCAAAGGTCACTTAAGCACGAATATTGGGCAGAGCTGATACCACGAATGAGACACTGTCCGCTTATTACATTCGAAGCACCACAACAAAGTTGGAATATCAAAGCATTAAGTGTACGAACAGCGTTTCTTTCAGAATGTGTGAATGACTCATTCAAGTGGAAGGAAACTAACTTGACAAGTTTATAAAAATGGCTACCTGTTTATTTCCTCGTAATCCGAGAGATACTTTATTCCTACAATAATTACTTATTGACTTGCTGAAATTCAAGATCATGTGCTGATGATCCAACAGATTTTGTTGGATGAGGTATCTAAATTTAAGATTATATCCTTAATTTGGAAAAAATGGAATAGTGATGAAAAATACATTATTGATCAAATAGATAATTGAATTAATGTAAAGAATAATCCATTTTATGGTTCTAAACTGTGATCCAAGCTATCATATGTTTGTTTAAAATTCGCTACTGTACAATATGGATAGGTTAACAATCAGTGAACGTATTAAAACTTACTACAGAATTGGTGATTTTATGATATGTGTGTGCCGTGTTTTACGAGGAGATTATGGCTTTAAAATTCTGTAAAGAATTTTAAAGAATTTTAAAGAATTTGGATGTGTATCAGTGAAAATAAGATTTTATAATTATTTCATATTATCTTCATTTATATGGATATATTATTAAAAACAGGATGCAAAGTTATCAAAAATGCTTACCTTTATAAAAATTGTAACGGGAACTGTGTAAGATATTATGATTATAAGAGATAAACTGCTCTTAATCCCATTCAAAAATTTGTCAACTGTATGCGCACGATATGGAAATCGATGCAGCAATATGTCTGGAATACGAGTTACTCCATTAAATGTCTCTTTTAGTTCTTCAACTACAGAATCAAGATTCATATATGATAGAAATATTTGATGTTGTAGGGAACTAAAACCTTCACGAACGTATCCAACGTAGCCGCCAGTTTTGTCTCTACCAACACGACTATCCGGTGGAGTTACAAAATTAAATAAAATATTTGTATTCCAGTTGGACGTTATATATGTATCATGGTAGAAACGTAGTTCACTTGGATACAACAGTGTATAATTAAGTTGACTTGGTATTTCGTCCGTATTGGACTGAAAAATATTTTCATCGAAACAAACTCCAGCGAAATAATATTTAGTTTGCATGGCATTATAGAGAAGTTCACAAGAGCTATATCCAATCAAATCCATACCTCCTAAAGACATAATTGCGTGATTCATTATTTTATTAAATAAAATGTATGTATTGGGTGCATAAGCAATTATCATTTGAGGGACATATACGTTGAAACTGTTGCTAAAAAAAAAGAAGAAATACGTAAACTACATACCACAAGTATAAGCAGATATTTATTTCCTTCCAAAAACTTACGTCCGTGAAACATTGAAATATTTGTAATTGCGATTTGATAGCACACTTAATAGATTGCTCCATGATTCTTTTAAATCAACTGGTTCATATATAATAGTTGGGAAATTTTCACAGCTAATCATGCAACGTATTACTATTGGTATAGTCATAAAAAAAGTGGGTGTGAGTATGCAAAATAGTACAGTATGCCAATTCTTCCACTGGACACACCAATTCTTCCAAATCAAGCACAAGAGCAATTCCCACACAGTTAAAATATTGGAACTCATTTCTTTATTTCACGTTAATGAAATAAATAAAAATAATTAAAACTTTTTTAACAGCTGTCTTATGGTAGAATAAATTTTATCTTAAGAATATTTTAAAATTATTAAAAAAATACTTATTTAAAATATTTTTTGACATATTATGAATTATTGCTTTTCTTCATAATATAATTTTTATTAATATTTGAATTGTGTTTTAAAGGTGACACCGATGTCCAATATTATATTATGTCTGACTCCCTCAGTTACATACATCTTTATCTCTTAACAATGTTATATATTGGATACATTACGCTTGTTAAGTTTGAGGTAACTTCGTGAATCAGATTGATACAATGTATATATTCTACATTGCTTTTTAGTTTAGTGAAAATAGTAATCCAACTATATTTGCCTATTTATCGTTTCGCTTTTATGAT